CCCAGCTCTGCCTTTTGGCTTCTGGCGGCAACTGCATTTTCACATGCAATTTGGAGCCTATGACCTGAAGGGATAAATTTTAACCAAGCTAATCAGTAAAGACAATGTTTGTGTAATACTGGAAATGTTTTAAAGGGGTTTGTGTGAACAGGCCAGAGGCTTGATATGACTTCTGCCTGGCATGTTTCCTTAAACTCCCTAAATCTAGATCCTCAAACCACCTATTTTTTAGGATTATAACATCCACGACGTTATTCACGTTGTCAGAGTACCCGCATGGTTAGAAACATTTTTTTCTGCTACACTAGACTTAGATTCATGTTTGGGATTTTTTTTATACACATCTTAGGAATGTGAGCTAAGTAGGTAACTGGGTTTTTAGAGAATCTGCAGGGGATTCTCAGGATGGGATTAGCCTTTTCAGTTTACTTCCTGACTGCTATTTCTTCTTAAATGCCAGGCCTCTGAGGAACTCCTGAAGCAGCACTACATAGACCTGAAAGACCGCCCTTTTTTCCCGGGGCTGGTGAAGTACATGAACTCCGGGCCGGTTGTGGCAATGGCAAGTGCTTAGCCGAAGGGAAATAGAGGGAAACATGGAGGGAAGCAAGGGCTGGTGTATAACTGGGGTTGGTCAGTGCCCCAGTGTGCCTTTTTTAGACCTCTTTCCAAGCCCTTCCAAATTCCTTTTAAAAATATAGCCTGCAGGAATGAGTTAACAGAGCAACTAGGGATGTGGGGGTTGGGGGGAGGGAACAGGAGGGAATCAGACCTTAGAAAAATAAGGACACTTTAAGGCAAATCCTCTGGGGTTTAGTCTCACTGTGAAACATAAAAGATTTCCTTGGTTGTCTAACAGGTGTTTATTTATTTATTATTTATTTTTAAATATTTATTTATGCATACAAGAGCTGGGGTACAGGCTAGAGGTGGTGCGGGGGGTGAGAGGATTCACCAGAGACAGAGTGGGGAACAGAACAGGCGGATCTACTGAAGTACACTGCTGAGGGGAGCAGCGGGTGAGACAGGAGAGGTCTGCTGCGCCATGTGGGTCAGCTCCCTGGCCGGGGATTGAACTCATGCTGCAGTGGCTGCCGATAGCTTCATAGTGCTGACTTAAACCTTGTGCCACCATGGATGCTCCCCTGGAGTGTACTTTCACCTTGCATATCAGTTGTAAGGCTTTTGGGATCTTCTTTCCAGTGATCCTATTCCTGTCCAATCACTTCTGTCTCATCGCTATTTCTTTTCAGTGTTTGTGGCCACATAAGAATTCTTCAGTCTTGTTTATCTTTGTCTGAGTGGTACTGGAAAGTTGGATTGACTTACGGCGTTTTTTTAATATAGGCCCTTACTATCTCCTGTGGGTTAGCTGAAAATCAAGTGGCCGATAGGTCTGATTGTGTTAGGTAGGGGAGAATGTTTGTCTCTACTCGCCCTGGATGTCAGATCTACTTTTCATTACTGTCCAGGTCTGGGAGGGCCTGAATGTTGTGAAGACCGGCCGAGTGATGCTTGGGGAGACCAACCCAGCAGACTCCAAGCCTGGCACCATTCGTGGGGACTTCTGCATTCAGGTTGGCAGGTAAGTCCTGTGGGACACTTCCTGGAATCCATATGTTATTTTTTTTTAAAGGTTTGTTTTTATTGATTTATGCTTACAAGAACTGGGGTGTAGGCCAGAGGTGCAGGGGGTAAGAGGACTCACCAGAGACAGAGTGGGGAGCAGAATAGGTGGATATACTGAAATCAGCTGAGGGGAGCAGCGGACAAGGCAGTAGAGCTCTGCGCACCACATGGGTCAACTCCCTGGCTGGGGATTGAACTCCTGTTGCAGTGGTGATAGTGCTAAGCCTTAACCCCTAGGCCACCAGGAAGGACCCTGGTAAGGAAATTTTGAACATGGATGTATCACCTCAGGTTTGGGTTTTGGTCTGGGTTTGTTTGGCGATTCCTCTGTTTTTCATAATTTGAGAAGGAAATGTTTTATGACTCAGCAGTCTTGGGGACTGTTTTGAAGGGAGAAAACTTGGAAGCATAATTAAGTTGAACCAAGGAATGTTTTTGCACTTGATCTTAGCCAAAAGGCCGAGAAGCGATAAGGAATGTTTTTGATCAAGTACTTTTGTAGTTGCTTTTATGAGGAAATACTTTTGGGGGTCATCTGCTTTCAAGTGGCAGTTTCACTGAAAAGGTCTACAGTGGCTGTTCTTTGGTTTATCCATTAAATAGACTTTCGCACTTTAAAATGTGATGACTAGTAAATTGTCCTCTTTCTTAGGAACATCATTCATGGCAGTGATTCAGTAAAAAGTGCTGAGAAAGAAATCAGCCTATGGTTTAAGCCCGAAGAATTGGTGAGCTACAAGTCCTGTGCTTTTAACTGGATCTATGAATGAGAGGTAGACAAAGTCCCTGGAGCGTCCCTGGACACAGCTCTTCATTTTGCTTGGAAGCAATAGGATCTATCTTTTCTTAAGCATATTTACCAATAAAGCTTTTGGAAACTGGGTGCAGCCTCCTGTGCTTATTTGATTCTAAACTGGAAGTGACTTGGTTCCCTAGCTGTCGCGGCATTCTAGAACTAACTCATCCTGCTACTATAGAAGCCTGGTCTGACCCTTCTCCTTTTCTGGGTGTATTTCAAGACTTGAGGGAGGAAGAGGAGTGAGGCTGAAGAGGGCAAGTGTGGCAATGGCTGTGTACCTATGAAAACTAGTAAGAAAATAATGCACATAATAATTATCACACCTGCTTTAGCTGATACTGTAACGTGCATTTCTGTATACAGAATTTGCTAGTACTTGATAGAGAATTAAGGCTAGTCAGGTTGTCCAGAGTTACATTGTTGGGCAGAATAGGTGGATCTACTGAAACACTACTGCTGAGGGGAGCAGAGGGAGAGGCAAAAGAGGTCTGCTGCGCCATGTGGGTTAGCTTCCTGGCCAGAGATGGCGATAATTTGTTAGCTCTGACTTTAACCCCTGTTCCACTAGGGAGGCCCAGATTATTACCTTTTTTTATGCTACAAGACAATGGCACAGTTTAACAGCTTGGCACAAAAACTCAAAATTCTAGTGTCAAGTCAGTTGATAAGAAATATAACAATTCTCAATTTTTCAACTTCAAATTTAATCTCATGTTTACATGCTACATGCTTTCACCAGTTTAAAAGTTTGATCATTAAAGTTCTAGGCTCTTGGGGCTCTGCATTCACTGGGCTCTCTGGTGATTCTATGCACACTGGCTGAGGTCCCTGGGTGATAACAGCAGCAAAATACAGGCTTACCCTGAGGCAGGGTTGTTGTGGGTAAATCACATGCATGAATTCATTTTATCTTCAAGTTCTAACAGGTAAAGTTCTAATAGGTAAAGAAGCTACTCTCATCTGAGCAGCTGTCTTCAGACTCCAAGCACTTGGTCATTGTGCCTTACTTCCTTATAGTCTCCAAGTGACAGGTCAAATTCGTGAGTTTAGGTGCAGTCAAGTCTGGAGTGGCAAGAGCTGAGAGAAAGAATTTGGCAGACTTGAATGAAAAAGGTATAGACGGGCAAAATTAAAGGTATAGTCTGGGGTAAACTTTGGTTTGGACCTAATCCTCTATACCAGATGGGTGTGTGAAAGTTGACCATTTATTCAGAATCTTCTGTTGCTTTCAGTAACTTTTTGAATACATAATAAATATGTCACTGTTTACATAATTGTTTTGGCCTGCTTGGAATTCTTTTTTTTAAACATTTTTAATATTTATTTATTTATTTATCTATTTATTTATACATACAAGCACTGGGTACAGTCAGAAGCGCGGGAGGGTGAGAGAATTCACCAGAGCCAGAGCGGGGAGCAGAGCAGGCAGAAGGACCGAAGTACACTGCTGAGGGGAGCAGGGGGCAGCAGGAGAGGTCTGCGTGCCATACGGGACCCTCCTCCAGTGGCTGGGGAGCAGCCGGGGATCGAACCAGCGCTGCAGAGGCTGCAGGCAGCTTCGCAACCCAGCGCTCAACTGCTGCACCATTTGGGAGGCCCCTGCTTGGAATTCTTAACTGCTAAAAAGGGTAAAAGTCTCAGTAAAAATCTGTAAAAAGTAAATATTTAACTGTTTCCCTACCTCATAGGGTTTGAAATGATGCTAAAATGTGACTTGCTTGGGGGAAATACTGTTACTCAAATACTCTGTTACTCTTAAATATACTGTTACTCTTAAATATTTCCAACTAGCGTTAATGACTTAAAATGATTTGAGAGATGTAGAAATAAATAGCAAAACATGATATAGCAAATGATAGTTAACCTGGGAATTCCAACTTGGGGCAATGGTTTGTCATTTAAACAGAAAGTAGGGCAGAAATTAGTTTCCACTTTTGTTGTTCTTGGAATGTGCTATATTTTTCTGAAGCATAATGAAATTAATGACTGAAAAGACCCAATTCATCCTCATTACTATCTTATATCCACAGAACTATCTATGAATTGCTTTTGTAGTCAAAAGTTTTCCAGAGAGTCTGTTGTTGCTAAAGGAGGACTTTGAATTCCCTCTTAATGTGAACAAGTGCTACCTAGGATAACATCTATATCCTATGAATCCTCTGCTGCTCAGGTCATTGAAGCTTAAAAAAAAGTCCCTTAGTGGCGAGATGCCAAATCTGTAACACCTTGTTCTAACAGCTAAAGTGTCTTAATTTACCCATAAGTGGGCAACACTCACCCTTGCCCCCTTGCTATGGTTTTGCTTTTTCCCTCTGTTGCTGAAATCTCCACTCCAATCATACCCTAGTAGCGCCACCCTCCCACCCCCAATATTCTTTTCCTCCCTATCAGCTAGTAGGAAATTCTTCCTCACTCATGTGCTTGCTTTCCCATAATAGATTACAGTTCCTTGAAGAAGGAACTGACTGGACTCCACAGGGACCTCTGATTGCTTACAGAAGACACTCGACATTCTGAATAAAAAATCCCCTTAAAGACCAAAGCATGTTAAAAAATTGCTCAAATACAACTTAACTTTAACATTTTATTTTGTGTAAAAAAAGGCAAATTTAGTGAATTACTTTCATCTTGTACACAAAGTTATAATTTTAATGCTTTTCACATCCATGCTGAAAATCTGCAGTTTGGTAAAAATGAAAAGAACAAATTTCTCCAAAGGAATTTTTCACGCATTATATACACTTCATGAGAAAGTTTCAAAGACTTTCTCAATGATCACAAGTTACCAAGAAAATAAAAGATTAAATTTGTACAGATATTGATCTATATATCAAATACATACAGAAATGATGTAAAAACCTTATGCAGTTTACTTTGACCTCTGTCCTCAAAAGATTTGCCCAGGGACAGATGCTTTTCATTTGTATAAATGACTGTGGCTTTATTTAAAATATGAAAATCAAAGGAAGAAACCCAGTTTAATCACAGTATTTTTAAAATCCCTTCCCAATAGTAAAGGATCATTACCAAATATATAGCACCATAATACAAATATTGATGGGAGAGGGTATTCACATCACGCAAAATTAATAATAATAAAAACAAACAAACACTGAAAACCCGTGTTAGTATCCGTAGAATAAGAAGTTGATAACAGCTTGAGCTTTCCTCATACATAGCAAGGAAAAGGTTAAAGATTTTTAACTACCAAAAAAACAAAAAACAAAAACCCAAATAACCCTAACAGGAAAAAAACCAAAAACAAACCCAAGGTCAGCAGTACATTTTGAATAACCATAAGAGAATGGGGCTGCTGTTGAGTTGTACAGTTGGAGTTATGGCTGAGACATAAATCTCCTCTGCATTAATTTATTTACCGTTCATCAGCAGTAGGAGTTAAGAGTCTGAATGATGAAGAGGGCTTGAGATTGTGTTCAGATAGTAGGAAGTCCTGCCCAACCTTTAACTGTTGGTGACGGGATCAAGACAAACACTTCATGAATAGCTGGGAAACTTGAAAATACACAGAGCCTGGTTTTACTCTAGAATCGGAAGCTTATAAAACTTGGCTACAAATAAGTATTTCACAGAACTAATTACCAGGCTCCAAATCAAACCCCTCCTGGTTTATTCAGTTCCTCATCAAGCCCCTAAGCCCAAGGAATTGGTAGAGCACGCCATACAACTGGCTTCTAGTGCCCATGTCAATGGAATCAGTCTTGGGTTTAATTCACTGAGCCTGAGAATAAAGACTGCTGTGACCCTTGCTTTGGAAGTCTTCTAGGTTTTAAGTTTACGGGAAGATTCTTAAAAGTTAAAGATTTGGGAAGTGTGAGGATGTCACATTTACAGTAGGTCCCTCTCAGTAATATTGTTTAAGATAAATATCCAGTAATTTAACAGCTGAATTCACATATATTTGACACATGAGAAATCAACTTGGCGTTGATATGATCTACATTTATGCCCCTAAAGAGTCAGTACTAAGAAATGTTGACATGCGATTCCATACATTCTTACACTATAAAATAACAAATTTTACTTCCAGTAGCAACTACAAAACCTTATGTTATTAACCCCTCTTGCATAGAATGAGGTAAACCTGTGCGTATTACCAATGCTATTATTCCCAAAAGTAGAGCAATATTTTAGAAAATAAATTGCTGGTTTTTAACGTTCTACGCATTTTAAAATTCAAACAAAAATCTTACCTAAAATGGTCTCCTGGGGCTTTCCATTAACATATTTTAAAGCATTCCATAGGCTGAAGGACTGTAGAGGTTAATCATTTTGATTAATTTCTAATTAGCCCTACCTATATTCCAGAGGAGATGGTCAATATTACCACTCTGAAGAGGTCAGGCTAAGACCCAGAAGCACTTCTAGAACTGATGCTATTAATTCCTGAGAGTTTAGTTTATGAACCTCACTGGTAAACGCTAGAGCTCTCTCATTCAGTCACAACTCAGAAAGTTAGAAAATGCAGAGAGCAAACTTCACCAATTTACCCTTACATCCTTTTTTAAAGGAAGCCATGTGAATTTCAAAATAGGGAATGTTCAAAATGGTCCAAATCAGTTATTAAAATAAATTCTGAATACCATTAAAGAGAATTCATACTATATATATATATATATATATATATATATATATGGAATTTTAGGACAATTCTCTTTCAAATTATTTTTCTAACAAAATCCAGAATAGTTAAAAGCAGAGCTGGAATGATTGTGAAATCTAAACTTATTTTGGCTTTACACAAATTTTGATTCTTCTGGTAATACAGAACATCTGTTTTGGGGTGTGGTTATACCAAACATTATCTCACAAATGGAGGGAAATGGCAGAGAACTGATCAGAATTCCTTCTGTGGGGTATTTTTTAGTAAGGAAAATAAAATAAACCTAGGACAATATTGCATTTCCCCCAACCCCTCAACATGTAGACCTATCCTGTATATGTTGTCAACCATTCCAGTTTAACACTTTAGTGTTAGATAATTTTAACCATTTTTTTAATTAAAAGAGAACTTATATATAAAAGTATCCAGAGTTCTTCCAGTTTCATACAGAACTCTAATTTTCACAGAATGAAAAACAATTCTGTACAAACATTTAAAATGGTCTGCAATAAAATGCTAACAAGCAGAATTAATCACTCTTTCCATGATCTTTGTGGTGATGAACCCTCCATATGGGGGTCCAGTTGCATATTTCTGCAGCAAAGGAAGCTGGAGATGTGACTGGCCTAACTTCTAAAATCCTCAAATCTCTCAACAAGTACCAAAAAAGGTTCATTTGTAATGACAGTTCATTTGCATTTACAACTATATCCTTCTCAAATCATTTCCTTCAATCCTGCTACCTAAACTTTAATCTTACCAAAAAAGTTAGAATTTCAGTTCTTGTTAACAATGCACATAAATCCAAACTTGGAAAATATTACAAAATTCTTTCAAAAGCTTCAAATACAACACAAAAATTGTCCATCTTTATAAATTGAAAAATTTCCCCCCACGACTAAAATAGTTTCCCCACCCACCTGAAAAATCTGGAACTGAAATTTTCTATGTTTAGCAAAATGTCCCAGTAGAATAGCCCCGCTGTACAGCTGGATTGACTATAAATCAGTCCTGTGTAAAATTCTTCCCCTCCCGCCCTCAGTTTCTGAGCCATGTCAGGGCTCTTGTTTGATGTAGAAGTTGGCAGAACCATTGCTTTCCTGATCAGATGCTCCTTGGAGGAAATTATAATCCTCTCCATCTATCAACTCCTCCTTCAGCTGCAATGTAGTCACTGTATGAAAGAGAGAAGTATATGGGGGCATTACTGAGCATCTCTGGAACATTCAGGTTGCTTTTAATTTTTATGTTGCACCAGCTTTAGTTAATAAAATGTCATCATTTTTTCAACAACTCTTAAAATTAACTCCCTGAATTTTAATTTTCAAAGTATATTAGCAGTTAGGGAAAAGTTCAAAAAGGAACAGTACTGAATACTGGATATTACCTAATGGAAATCATCAAAGAAATGTTCAAGGTAATAGTGTTTACTAATTTGACTAGAACAGAATTTTTCTTTTGATTAAGTATTCACTTTTATGTCAGAATCTATACACTGACACACCGGCCTATTCCTACATGGTTCTGAAGAATGTTATCTAACCATTGTAGATAAAATGTATCAATGCTAGCAAAGCGAAATCCTTGGTCCCAAGAAGCTAACACTGCCAATTGGATCACAACATAGTACTGCTGGTTTGAGTGCTCATCTGATGATCAGCTTTTACAGGAAAATGAACCAATGGTATAGTCTGTCCTCAGCTTATGAACAGGTCACATTCCAACAGGTCTCTATTTCTAGGGACAGATTTTTTAATTTTCCCATATTTTCAGTGGGGCTTAGATTTCTGGGTAGCCACTGACATCACATTAGTCAGAATTCTTAGTGACAGGAGGGCTCTTTCTAATGCATGGGGCAAGGATAAAGAAAACGAGGATTTTTTTCTTTGCTGGGCCCAGCATCAGTCTTAGGTAAAAATTTTAGGCGAAGCTTAATTCTGAAATTTTCCTGTTTCTTTACAAATTCCTTTTCACTTTGTTAATGGTGTTGCGGTATTCCTTGTAATTTCAGATTGCCCTTTAAATCCTTGCCCCTGTCTTTTACAGGATTCAAAAAAATTACTTCCTTACTTTCCTAATAAAAATGATCTCAGCTAGGAGTTAAAAACTAGTCTTAGTAACTCTATCAAACTCTGAGACATTTTTAGTTTCTTAAAAAGTTACTGTTTAATCAAAACTAGCATTCTTGAGGGCTATGAGCAGAGGGAACTGAGTGGCTGCCATGCCCCTCCCGCAGAGGGAAGTCTCCCACTGCATCAGTGTTCTACCCTCACGTGACTCACTGAGGCAAGCCACTTGCTTCCTGTAGGCACTGGCTCAAGTTAATTTTTTTCTTCCATTATAGATCTTTTCATTATAATTGAGAGGATGCATAAATGTGGAATGCAAATTGGGAACTGCTCATATGGAAGAAAATGTCACTCTCTCTCTCTATATATAAATGTAACTACATATATCACTAAATACTATATAAATAAATACATATATATAAAAATAAAAGAATTGGGACTCAAAGATGTTGTAATTTAGATGTGTGGTAAACCAATGCAATTTTCATGAGGTGTCACCACAAGAGTATTAAAATGGCTACACTTGTAATTAAAGTCCAATAATAGTGTCAACCAAATACTTCCTGTCTTGATTTTAGTGGTGGTTAGTTTCAAAGTGATGGTCTTTGACATCTTATTGAATAATTTAAATAATAATGTTTTGAGAGATGCCAATTCATTTTATTTTACTTTGTCACTTGTTTCGGTAATAGTGGTGTGAAAATGTAATAGCCCAAAGACAGAAAAGTGAATATACTGTGCCTGTAATAAAAGCAAAACACCAGACTGTTGAAAGATAAAGCAAACAAAAATTATAGTTTTCCATTTTCAAAAAAAAGTTAATGAAAATGATTTTATGGAGAACAATACCAAGTATATAACACTTATTTTTCAAATCTAACCAGCATGCATTAATTGGCAAAGGCATTTGAACAATACCATGAAAATAAACACATGGGAAAGGAAAAAAAAAAACCCCAATTTCATTAAAGGTGCAGTACCCACAATAAAAGGTTGATTAAAATAATATCTTGCTATATGATGGTCAGATGGCTAAATGAATGAGAAAAGAATTACCGTGCTTCAAGACCAAACATGTTCCATTCAAACGGATGTTTTTATTTTATTTTTTTAATGTAAGAAAGGCAAGTTGAGATTCTAAAGCACATCCTGAAGTTACTTGTACTTACTGTTAATAATGAATTTCTGGATTATGCTTCTGCTCATGTTAGAATATGAAACAATGTGCTTAAAAAAAGTGATTTAAGAGAAAGGTGAATCACTCACTCAGACGTGGAATGTTTTACACTTGATCTTAGCCAAAAGGCCGAGAAGCGATCAGACGTGGAATGTTTTAATGCAAAGTTTCAGTCTTCTCATGGAACCTAAAGCCTGTCTGGTATCTTCACAAGTCATTCTCCATTCCAGGCCTTATTCTCAATGAATGATGGATGAAATAAAATAAATCCTGTGGTTGAATGTTACTTTTGACACAAGTGCATTTTCTGAGCTCCATTTTTAAAAGGAAGCCACTTTGCTGACTAGTATTTCAGGAGATAAGCTAACAGAAATACATTTTCCTAGCTACAGGTCCATATATAATAAACTCAATAGCTAGTCAAACTGCAGCTCTCAGATAGTTAAAATACCAATTTAGTCCCAGAGTAAAATCACACCAAGTCTATAAGGTATGTTCCCGGTTCAGAAGATACTCCAGACACTGTGGAAGGAGGAAGTCACTCAGGAGCCCTTATGGTCTTGCAATTATTCCAATCTTAGAAGTTGTTTTACATCACTTGGCAATCTCTCACAAAATGTGAGTCATGTCTTTAAAATCAAGACGCTTAAAGAAAATATATCTAAAATCCAATAAAATTCAAATATATCCAGAGCTACAATACCTACAGTTAATTACTTAGGTGAAAGAAGGCTACTTCAGAAATAACAAGTACAAAAGACAAACAAGAAATGGAAATGCTCTTTAGAAAGACCTTGAAGATTTTCCCATTAAAGACCAAATACATTTGGATTTGTAGTACTAATCTATTTTGAGATATAGATATTTCCTCTTAATATAAGGACATCAGGGTGATCGTCAAAGAAACAGACTGGAAGCATAAGGATGAAAAGATATATTGATAAGGAGTCAAAAACCCAATACACCTTAAAATGGAAAAAAAAGGGTGATGACAACTACAGGAGAAAAAATAATAGCAAACAGAGAAATGAGAAAAAAAAGCCAAAACAAAACAGGTAGGTACTAAGTTCCATCAGGGTTTTCAACCAAAAGGCAGTTTAAAGAATACTGATTAAACAATTAAATTTAAAAGCAACAGTAAAGAGAAGGGAGTACAGATGCCAAGACAGAAACATTAACTCTGAAGCTATCTGATTTGTACTCATGGGTGAAGTTCATCATATGCAAAGTAAAGAAGCCTTTCTGATATCCTGTGATATTGTTTTCTCTTAGCAATTACAAAGGGCAAACATTTTCTGCAGTCTTTCTTAGCTTAACCAATTAAACTGAAATGCCATCTACCTGATTAATCACCACACATGCAAGAATATGAAATTATGGAAATTTCACTTAAATTCAACACTGAAATCACACAGGCATTATATTTTAATAGTCCCCTTGTTCAGCTAAGATTGTGGTAAATGTTACTACCAGAAGCAAAATTACACCGGGGGCACAAAACGTTCTATCCAATGAGTGGGACACTATGGATGCTATGAGCAAAGCCTCATCTTTGGATCTGATTCATCAGATCCTTAATGGTCTATTTCTCCCCCAGGTCACCACAAAGAATTCTGCAAAGCATAATGTTCCAACGCTCTAAGGAAACCACGAAACAGTCCAGATGTCTCACAATTCTATAAACTGAAATGATGGCTTCACCCTAATTTGAAGCTCAGAAGTGGTTTATAACAAAATAAAAGTCCTTCTCTGATGATTCATCTTAGTGAAGTGACTACTAAGGACTAGTGAAAATGAATTTTTCAGTTGAAAGAAAAAGAAAAATTTCATGAGTCAGCACCTGTCATGCCAGACCATGCTTTGTCTCCCACCCCCCTACCCAGGCTTTTACCCTCTGTAGTACCTGAGGTGCTGATGTGACTAATTACCTGTTTTGAGGCTGGGACTGAACTCTCGGCTAGTGCTGGGAGGTGGGAAGGCCTCCGGGGCTGTCTGTGCTGGAAGGGTTCGATATGGAGGAGGAGTCAACTCTTCGTCACCAGAGAAGCTCCTCCGCACCCCACCTGTCATGGGCAGGCTCGACAAACTGACAGGCTTCTTCCCAATTGGCATCTTCCTCTCTAAATATCAAGTCAAACTAAAGTAAGCTTTTACTTACATGCGTGATAAGAAAAGTGCATTAAATAACTAGGAAAGGTAGTGTTGCACAGGGTATTGTGAAAGAGAACCAACTACGCAAGGTTTGTATTTCTGAAAACAGGGAGAGAGAAAGAGTGTGTTGGTAGGTGGATGATGGGGTAACGGGTTATTTCAACTCTGAGTATGGTGGTCTCAAAATAAATTTAGAACAAAAAGCAAAAGGAACTATGGACAGCATTTAGTGTGGAGGATAGCTGGCTAACTTCTTCAAGGAAACTTTGGCTTTAGGCAGGCTGAAAATCCAATGGCAGGGTTATAAAACCCTACCTGCAGGATAGTAGTTTGCTACCCAGGTAAGCTCAAACACCAGTTCTCAAGGAGAAATATGAGTTGAACAAATGTAATAACTGGGTAGCAGGATTTTACTGATATGAAATGAGCTATCCTAACATTTTTTAAAAAAGATTTATTTTTATTTATGTATGCAAACAAGAAATGGGGTATAGGCCAGAGGTGTGGGGGGAGGGGGGATGAGAGAATTCACCAGAGACAGAGTAGGGAGCAGAACAGACGGATACTGAAATACACTGCTGAGGGGAATGGGTGAAACAGGTGAGGTCTGCTGTGCCATGTGGGCCAGCTCCCTGGCCAGGGATTTGATCTCATGCCAAGGTGGCTGGCGGATAGCTTAAGAGCACTGGGACTTTAACCATGGCACCACCAGGGAGGGCCTCCCTTAACTTTTGGTTATAATTCACTCTGTCTTTCAGGAAACACAATTCTTATTCTGAAAGGCATTTCTAAAACTTAAAGTTTGTTACCTGCAAGTTCTTAAGCAGCCTAATTTCCTTTTAAATACCCTTCAGTTATAATTTTATAAGCAAACATAAGCCTTCAAAGACTAATATAATGCTTTCACTGCTAACAAAAAATACTCGAGACTTTGCAAATATTGAAAAACCATGCATATGCATTAAGTTGAAAGCTGGACAATACTTACATATCTTTGACTATAAATTAAATGTTTTCTTCTAGAGTATACAAAAGACCCATGAGAAACTATGTTTTGCAAAATCAAGACTAAAAGATAATAAATTTAAGCCAGACAGGACTCCTATGTAAAATGATCTGGAAACTAACGTAACTGAATATATACCAGTGCAGACATATTCGATTCTCAAACACCAAAGCAAAAGCACGTGCAGGAGTCACACTTGTTCTAACTGAATGTCTATATACACTTAGAGGTAACAATGTAAGGAATCTCCTTAATGCTCTTTTTTCTTATAATAGCCTCTCAAGATTGCAGAGAAATTAGTGGTGGTATTCTTGCTCTAGCATTACCACCCCTTGAGTAAAAAATAGGCTTTTTGAGATTGGATAAGTCACACACACACAACAGTCTACATAATCCTCTTGGGGAAACATTACCCTTATTTTTCAAAATCACTAGTGAACAGTTAACCATTACAAAACAAGCTAGAACAACAAAGTCAGTCAACGTTCTATTTTTGTAAAATGTAAGCAATACTGAAGAATACGCCAGTGGATGATTTTAGTTACAAAAAGACTGAAAGAGCTATAAGATGAAACAACAGTGTCAGAATATAATAATCTGCAAACAAACCAACAAAAACCTTTGTGGCCTATATGCTATTGATATAAATCTGCACGCAGTGGATGAGTTGGTTTCTTTCTTATTTGGGTAAAGTTTTATGGGAAAAATTTCTAATAAACTACTTGCTGAATAGTATAAAAAATAAAAACAGGCTGCTTCTTCATTCATGTGACAGTACAATTCCTTATCTTCAGTCCAAAATTCAAGGTTTTTAGGTAAAACTTTGGCAACAAAACCAGACCTCACTAAGTGATACCATTTATAATCTTTTGCCCATTTAAATATCTATATATATGTTTTGCTTCAGAAAATGCTCTAGAGTTTGCAAGGGGTATTACACAGTATATACTATACACACTCTATCTCTTTTCTAAAATCTGAAAAATTCTGAATTCCAAAATGTATCTGGACTGCCAAGAATATCAATAAAGGATTATAGGTCTACATTTTTTCCCTTTCCATGTTCAAGGACACTTCAAAGGCATGACAGATGTCATATTATTAACAGCAATCGAAACGACACAATTAAAGAACACGTTGTATTTATAGCTAAATTAATTTTTCTAACTATTCCAGATATCTGATGTTAAATATCACTAAAAGCTGGGGTGCTGATGTTAACCCTTCACTGATTTCCCTAGGCCATTCATTCAAAAATCATTAAAGTTTCATAAGTTAGAGACAAACCCTGCAAGAACAACACTTAGGGACGCACTGTGCACAGTGCTCAGAAATCAGTCCCTGCAAGTGTATGCTACATAGCTAGTGATTAATAAAAAATGTTAATGCAGCATCTTGGAAAGAAAGTTCTGAAACTCAAAAGTCTTCTCCAAAAGAAAGTGAAAAGAAAGGCTTGTGCTAGTTTTAATCTTACAGAAAGCTATGACACCACATCTGCTATGGTTAGTCCACTGACATCAAGTTACTGGGTGAAGTCTCTTTGCTCATTTCCAGATAAATAAGTCACTTTGATCTTCCTGGTCCTGTCAATAACCTCTAAAGTTCTTTCAGCTGAATATCAAACCTGGCAAAATAATACTGGGCCTATATGAGATTATGTGTGTAACCTAGGAGAGAATGCAAGAGAAAGATCTGAAGATTATCATTTCTGTGAGGCTGACTTGGATTCATTCTGAGAGGTGACTAAAGTACCAATGCAGTAGTTGATAGAAATTTTAAAGTTCCCTACAGAAAAATTTATAAAGAAATGACTGGTTGGAAAGGTAAGTAGATTTGAGTCTTCATGCTGCTTCTTGGTTGTCAATGAGGCAGCTAGCAATTATTTGAGCATACAATACATCAGCAGGAAAAATCTATTTCAGTTTTAATCCTCAAATGTACTTTTTACTTTAAAAATAATTTTATCTCAGAATGAAATATTCTGGGACATTCTGTGGCTTTCTACGGTGGTAAAAAATGATTTAAAAAGAGTAAAATAAAGCTACCAATATATTGAATATTATTTTTGCTGTTAACATCAATAACCATTCTCTGTAAGGTAAAATATAATACACAAGGCATATTTAGACAAATTTTCTTAAGCCCTACTTTTTAAATTATCAATTTCAACTTGTTATAAGATTCATTCTAGAAAGAGTTCAGGTTTATAAGAAGGATGGGCTTATTAGTAGCTAGCCTATTGTAAGCATAAGCTTTTATGTTTTTTCATTAAAAAGTTGAAGAATAGAAAGGATTAGTTTTCCAATAGGCTTACATACTGTTTCAAGAATCACGTGCGGACTATTCTTTTAAACATGATTATGGTTAATCATTTTTCCTGTCAATTAAAATATGTCTTTCACATAATTGAAAAGGGTTGCCTTTTATGGCATACTGCACCTTTAAGCATACTACATTTAATGCACAGTGATTAGTGCTCACAGGGACATAATTTTTTGTGCAAGAAATTTGTGACCCCAATTGGTTTTAACATTTTAGGAAATATATATAAACACCATGTGGTGACCCACTTTTCTTATGTCCTTTGTATTGCTGGGACTTAGCCTTTTTCTTCTGTTTTGATGAACCTGATTGGCTTTCTCTTGATGCTGAAAAATAAAAGGAAAAGTTGGTACCAGGTAACTACTGATAACTCTAGATACAACTTAGATGAACTATCTTTACCAAGACCATTATGCTAAAAAAAGTACATAGAAAATCAGAGTACTTATTCCTGTAACACCATGAACCTCAATAACAGACTCCGAGATTTGATACATACATATTATATACCAATAAATTTTTAGCCTATAATTTAAAACTTATTAAAATAAATATAATTTAATTTGGTGAGTGCTCTTACTGTTGTGGCTCTATAGTCATTATGTAACTGACTACTGTGTTCACACAGCCATGGTACACATGGTCTGATTCTGTGATATTGTTGTTGAGTCTTAAGATCTTACCTGGCAACCAATCAGACATAGGTATATTCTTGTCCTGTGAGCTCATAAGATGATTTATGTGAGATAGTCCTCTGGAGAATTGCTGATTTTTACAAAAGGACACCTTTTCTGTATACCAACTTACACTGTGATGCTGGAGGCTGTAGTTGATATCCAGTTAATTGACACCACCCTACAGGATAGAGGTCAGGGGACTCACAGTCTACCCACTGATCATACTCTTCTTCCCATCCATCAAAATGTATCCTCAAGAGACGATGAATAATTCGAGTTACTGTGGCTACACATATTAATCGTGGCTCCATGAGATCTACCGCTTCTAATTTCATTCCTACACGAAATCCATGATTTGGAACATCCTGACCAAGAGAAGCAAAATATTAACACTGATGAAAAGAAGAATTCAGATCTTAATTGTGATGAAGAAAGAAAGTATAAGCAACACAATCAAATAACATAATATAACCCCAAAGTTCCAAATAACTCTTTTAAGTATTGAAACATGAAGGTCAAGCATTTAAACTAGTTAGGAAATGGACTCATTTACATTTTCCTCAGATTAAAAATGAAACAAAGTTTGAAAACAGGTTTCAATCCTGGGAAAATAAGACATTTATATTATTAATGTGTTCAGTTCTATTAATCATCACTACAAAATATAAAGCAAAGACATTTTCATCAACATTGATTTGCATTTGTGAGGCATCAAAAGATTATACAGTTATGATACCATCATTTAAATTTACCTTGTTAAATAGTTTTACTGGTGCTGCAATGGAGCCAGTTTCCCTGAGGTAGTCAAACCATTTAAAAGGAAGTTTTGTATAACCTGCAAAAAATAACTGGTTTAACTAACAGTTCATTTGTAATTAGCATAACATTAAAACATAGGTATGAGATGACTCAGTAACAATAAAAACTTAGATTTTAAGTTATATGATAAACTTTTTTTTTTTTTTTTTTATAGAGGCATGCTTTATTTATTTGTTTGCTGGTTTGTTTGTTTGTTTTGTTTATACATGCACTGGGTACAGTCAGAAGCGCGGGAGGGCGAGAGAATTCACCAGAGCCAGAGCGGGGAGCAGAGCAGGCAGAAGGACCGAAGTACACTGCTGAGGGGAGCAGCGGGCGGCAGGAGAGGTCTGCGCGCCATGTGGGACCCTCCTCCGGTGGCCGGGGAGCAGCCGGGGATCGAACCGGCGCCGCAGAGGCCGCGCGCAGCTTCGCAAGCCAGCGCTCAACCGCTGCGCCACCGGGGAGGCCCTTAAGTTATATGATAAACTTTTAACAAATGCTCTAATACTCTAGGTGCAGTAATTCCTCTATTTTACAAAGATTTCTTCCTTTTCAAAACAGACACTGGTGTGATGACTTATCTTAACAGAAAAGTGATTCTCTTCTCCTAATCTGCTCTTTCGTCTACCACAAGAACTAGACATTTGCTTTTTCAATTCCAGGCTTAGGACAGCCTAGCATTGAACACTTTAGTGTATTTTTCTTTCACTGCAAGTAAGAAAAATAGCCAAACTATTTTTAGTTTTCTTCCCTTCTTGTTTCTTAATAGAAAATTTCAAGATTCAGATTTAGATATTGAAATTAGAAAAGTCATCGGTTAAGTCAGAGAGCTATTTAAGGATATGCTTTCCTTTAAACAGTCATACGGTCATCTAAAGATAGAAACCTGCTTTCCCTGAAAGGCTAAAGTATGCATTTTTCAAAAGAGGATTATGTATGCAATAGCCCACTAAGCCTACAATCACACTATCAACTGGGCTTAAGAATACCAATAAAACTGTACAGGTGCTCAGGAAAAATTCTAAACAAATGTAATTTATTAAAGATAGCTAGAAAACTGTTTTTCATGTTCTTAGAGCACCCTACAGCCTTGTTAAACACCTGTTTGCTTATATATGTACATATCCACACATACTACATATTCATACAGCAAAAAATCTAGGGCCTTGTTAAATGCGGTAGATAAGAGAACATGTTAACAAAACAAGGATGAAAACTCAGTGGATATACTAGCATGAAGTACCTCTGGGTGGAGTAAGTTCAATCATGTTAATTTCACAGAAACCAACAGGGAAAATAGAAGGGGAGGTTGCATGATAACAGAACCAGTCAGATCCATCTGCTGCTTCTGAGCCATCGATCCCAATCATTAGGAATCCGTCAGCCAGCACCTTTTAAAGTAAAAGAATCACAAGTATTAGAAATTAGATACTATTATTATAAAATGATCCTTTAAATTGACATTCCCAGAGAAAGGAAAATCTGTTACATAAAGGTCTCTTAGAAATGAAAAGCTTTATTGAATTGCTAAATAATGGAAATCATAATGAAAAAAATCTTTGTAAATGACAGTGTGTACCAGAAACAAAAGCAGGGTAAAGAGAAGTGATTTCAGAGTCTAGAAAAAAGTAGTGCCTTAGCCAACTGCTGAGGCTGCCTGCTCCCTGCCCTGCTGCCATGAAACTGGTGCTCTCTTCCAATTTAAGATTGAGTCTTGGCCAGGCTCTAATGTACTCAAAAATAACTTTCCTCCTTTCTCATGTATCACACAGATGAATTGTTCTAAACCCTTTCTATCTCCATCAAACTCCAACTTTACTTCTCTTATGCTGCACAATTTCCTGTGACAGAAACTAAGGCCAACCTATCTAAGGTCCTCAAACGCCTCAAATGTACCTCTGAAGCTGCTCTCTTCTTCCCCCAAAGACAAACTTCTCCATCTTGTTCTATCACCACCAATGGTACCTGGCACCAAAACACCATTTCTTGCAGGCTAACATCCCTCAACTTCCATCACATTAAAATATTTTTAAATATTTTATTCAGAAACAGTTTGTATTTCAGATGAGGAACAAGAATAGTACAATGAACAGAGTATTTTCTTTACCCAGAAACCCAATTTGTTATATACTATGTAACTCCCTGCAGTCTGATTTCTGTTCTTACCCTGCTGCTAAAGTTACCAATCAACTCCAAGTTTGTCAAACCTAGTGCCTTTCCCCCCAACACTTACCCTCCTGAAACCTCAACCTTCTAGCAGTACCAGTACCTGTTGATTATGCCCAACTTCTATTTTTTTTTTTTAAAGATTTATTTATGCATACAAGAGCTGCGGTGTAGGCCAGAGATGTGGGGTGTGAGAGGATTTACCAGAGACAGAGTGGGGAACAGAACAAGCAGATTGACCAAAGTATACTGCTGAGGGGAGCAGTGGGCGAGTCAGGAGAGTTTGCTGTGCCATGTGGGTAGCTTCCTGGCTGGCCAGGGATTAAATTCGTGCTGCAGAGGCTGCAGACAGCTTCACAGGTTGCGTCTTAACCCCTTGTGCCATCAGGGAGGCCCTTCTCCTAGACTCTTACTATGTTATAATCCAATGATCAATTTCTCACCTCTGATGATTCCTTCCACATTTTTTTTTTTTTTTTAAGATTGCCCTTTCACGAACTCTAATCCTTCAGTTTCTGATTTCAGCCTTTTTCCTTTCTGTTCTGGTGATGTCATCCATGCCCAGCGTGCTTCAGTGATTGACATCCCTGCGACAATTCCTCAAGTCTTCTCATGAGCCTGTCTTGCTCCCAGTCTTAGTCCTGCATTTAACCGCATACTGACTCTATTCTCTGAGTCAGCCAGAGCGTCACATCAACTGATCCCCTTACACCTGCAATATATCAGTAGGGCTACAAGACCCTCCCCCGCCCCGAATTAGTCCTTTAACCCTTGCCATTATTTTTCTCCACTATCTTGTCTGCTATCAGGGCTTCCAGCCTTCCTTTATGGCCATTTCCCCTCTTAATTCAACTTTTCTTGGTATGATCTATGTTCATGCCAGAAACCTTACCAACTATCCTGTTCACCGAAGCAAGCTCAGTCTGCTCAGGTATTCCAAGCCTACACTACCTGAGTCCTCATTATCTTTTAGTCTCAGTCTCCAAGTTCCTTTCTTCCAGTTATTTCTACTATATTGGTATTGGCTATATACAATAACTTCCTTTTAAAGCTCAAGAGCTTTGCTCAAGGCCTCTGGAAAGGACTACTCCACTACATGTGGGGTTCCTTCTTCCCTTTTATTTATTTTTATTTATTTTTTTAAATCTTTTTTTTTTTCTTCCCGAGCTATTTATTCATTTTTTTTAAGATTTATTTATTTATACAAGAACTGGGGTAGAGGTCAGTGTCGCGGGAGGGTAAGAGAATTCACCAGAGACAGAGCGGGGAGCAGAACAGGCAGACGGACCAAAGACACTGCTGAGGGGAGCAGCGGGCGAAGCAGGAGAGGTCTGCCGCACCATGTGGGTTTCTCCTTGGCCAGCTAGGAATCGAACTGGCGCTGCAGAGGCTGTGTGTGGACAGCTTCACAGCACGGCGCACAACCCACTGAGCCACCGGGAGGTCTCCTTTCTCCCTTTTAAATATAGCTGACTTGACCAGGAGCTAATATCTAACCTTCAGAGGGTCAAAAGTCAAAAGTTGGGATCATTTACATTCTCTGTAATTACAATTAAGAGACACTGTTATCAAGTCACTTAGTTAGGGTTGAAACAAAGATTATTATACAGAATTTGGTCAGGGAGTCATCATGTGCAGACTGAATGAGCAGGACACCAACCAAGAGTGAAAGAGAAGTGGTAAAGACTCAGAGCAGAGAGGAGCTGCGACAAAGAGAGATGCAGAGAGCAACATGGGGATTATGCCTTTCTAGTTCCCATCCTCGAGTCCTTGGCTGTCTAAGAGATCATCCACCGTGTCCTCAGAAGAACTAACCTGAGTGGGAAAGTCTTTACTAAAATTTTCAATGCAACTTGTATCTACTGTGTGTGAACTACCTGACATTTCACATTGTCTTTCCAGGGCACAGTTTCTTCTTGCATTTCTGTTGGGCTCAGTTTTTCCCACCTTTCAAGATGAAGTTTCCATATGTCTGGTTTTTCTTTTCCAAATGTTCTTTCTTCTGTAAAGATTTCCCTGAGACAATGTAACCTCTCCTTTATTTGAATTGCAACATTATGTTGTACCTTTAATGCATAGTTGATCGTTCATTAAACTTACTTTTGTACATCTTACCATGTTCTACAAAACTGTAAGCTTTTCAGAGTTGAAGCCAAACATGGCATGGAAAGTATTAACTAAGTCATCTCTGAATGAAGCTTGAGATTCTAATCACTGGGCATTTAGCTTTCATTTCACAAGGAGAGCATGGTATAATGGTACCTGTTTCCAAACCTGGTTTGGTGATTCTGGTTATCAGAATCACCTAAGAAAACCTTTTCCTTTTCTTTTATTTCTCTCCTTTTTATTATTATTTTAAAGATTTATTTATTTATTTATATAAGCACTAGGTACAGTCAGAAGCGCGGGGGGGGGGGGGGGTGTGAGAATTCACCAGAGCCAGAGCGGGGAACAGAGCAGGCAGACTGACGAAATACACTGCTGAGGGAAGCAGCGGGTGGCAGGAGAGGTCTGCACGCCATATGGGACCCTCGCCCAGCGGCCAGAGATCGAACCAGCACTGCAGAGGCTGCGGGCAGCTTTGCAACCCAGCACTCAACCGCTGCGCCACGGGGGAGGCCCTATTATTTTTTTTAAGATTTATTTATTTATATAAGAACCAGAGTACAGGCCAGATGTGTGGGAGGGTAAGAAGATTCACCAGAAACAGAGTGGGGAACAGAACAGGCAGACTGACGAAATACACTGCTGAGGGGAGCAGCAGGCTAGACAGAGAGGTCTGCCGTGCCATGTGGGTTTCTCCCCTGCTGGCTGGGATCAAACTGCGCTGCAGAGGCTCAGGACAGCTTCACAGTGCAGCGCACAACCGCCTGCGCCACCAGGGAGGCCCTCTCTCCTTTTTAAACAAGTAGATTTCTGGGCAACATTTCTTGTTATTCTGACTGAGCAGGTATGGAAATCAATGTTTTAAAGTGTACCAGGTGGTTCTTGACCAGTAGGGTCAGGTAAATGGAGGACAGGGATGGAGCAAGTCTTTCCAGCCACACGAACTTGAGCACATGTGCTTGGCTTGGCAGCCATTATAACTGCTTTTGATGCTATTGGCTTAAGGTTTTAAACTGTGTTAAAATACAAATTACAATTTAAGTTATACCTTTATGTAGGAAGATTCTGGGTCAGTGGTTCTTAACCTCAGCAGTACTTGAGAACCACCAGGGAACTTAAAAAATTGCAAATACTAGAGCTTCAATCTAGACTGATGAAATCAGAATGTATGGTAAGAGGCCTGGTCACTTATATATTTGTTTTTAAAGTTCCTTGGGTAATTTTGATGCCTGCTAAAAATTGCAAACCACTCTTTAAGGTATTTTTATGTAAGTAGTTTTAAAAGAAGGAAAATGAAACAAGAAAATACTACCAAAAGGATTAAAAAGGCACAAAAAGAAAACAAGAAACAAAAGATAGACTTGGACTTGCTACATTCCTGTATTGGACAAGCTTTGACCACTGACCAGGCAGTATATTAATACTGTTCTTTTCACTTAGCATGTAAGTCCATAAATATAGGTAGCAGATTCAAGAAGACACAAGCTTGACAATAAGCTATAAAAAAAAGAGAAACTATAAGAAAATTCAGTTTTTTAAAAATTCCTAGTAACCTTCTCCTCAGTGAAGATTCAGATACACACATTTTATGTTAAAATAAATACATGAAGGGCCTCCTCCTATTACCTTAAAATCAGTTCCTATAACTGCATTTCTATATTTTAGAACCTATTCTCTTACCTTTCTAATGGTTGCAACACATATTGTAGAAAGATTTAATGGGTCTATAGCTTCCAATTTCATTCCTTCCTTGAACCATTCCCCACTCTGGTCTACTTCTTTTACCTAAAGAATTACATGAAAGCACATTGACTGTTACAAATGTTACCATTTTTAACAACTAAAATATTACCAATTTGAAAAAGGTTTACCAGGTGAGAATACCAAATGTTTTCTCCTACCTACCTAGTAGTATAACTCAAGCTTCCATTAGGGAATATAGAATTCAGGCAAATAGAATTCAAGAATAATTATAATCAAAAGTTGTGACACCTTTGGATTACAAGTTCTTAATTCTTTTAAGTGAACATATGTAATTGTGATTTCCGTAATTTTAGGAAAAAACCCACAACCCTCTTTCAAACCTAATTTACAAATGAGGGTTCTTATAAAAACTTCTTACCTTAGCAAATAAATGTGGTGGTGTATCAAAATGTCCATCCTGTTTCTTTGTAATATCTACAAGGAAAAGTTACATACTAATCTGTCAGCATTTGTGAGAAGACCAAAAACCACGTTTCTTTGAAGGTTTCAAACTCACAAGGTATGTATATATAAAACATGGCAAAAATACATGCCTTCTACAGTTATGGTGAATAATATTCTTTAAGTCTTTCTCTCTTCAAAGTACATGTGCTATTAAATACACTCAGCCAATCAGAATGTTGGTAATTCCCTACTTAGGGAATTAAAACTTTAGAAGTATGTTTTTAATGTGTTTAATATTCAGTCTAACCACATTCCTTGCTATTTTGATTAAAAATGAATGGGAAGGGAAAAGCTATCTTTAGATCTTTCAAATGGGCTGGAAAAGAAAAGTGTAATAAAATAAATGTAGTTGTGAACAAAAATGCATTATTTTTAAATTGAGAACAAGTGGAAGAAACATAAAGGAATTGGTTAGGGTACTAGTATTTCAGTGTGAAACCTTCCCTAATTAAAGTAGAATAAGCAGCCCAGACTGTTAGAATGCTCATTTTTGATCTATGCTATTCTGTAGAGAAAAAAAAACCAACCAAAAAACCCAAGTAGTATAATTCAGCCTGAATGATATTTTCAACAGGAGTACTTGTGACAGATGCTTACCAGATCTTTTGAATCGATGGCCTATGCTTCGAGACCAACCAATATGATGGATTAATGGGCTGTGCATATGGCACCAGAAGTCATCTGTTCTATCTTCGCTCTCTTCATAGACTAGTCTTAATCGTCCTCCAATTACACTTTCCACCACTGCTACTCGTGTTCGACACAAATGTCTCTTGTCAACCACTTCTACTCTCATGCAAGGTTTGAAAGAATACTGCATACTCTCTGAAACCTTGAAACAAAAGCAGATAAAGACAGGACAGGGGTTTATGAATAATTTGTGTCATTTCATATTGCAATATTAAAAATACTGAGTGTACTTGATCATCTGGCTTACTAAAAAAATTATTCTTTAAAAAACTTCAAAGTTTTCACATTTTTTGCAGCTCTCATTTGAAACTTCAGCTGTTTCTAAAATCCTGTCTTTACCTTTTGTGAGAAATCGGGAGGAAGAGTTTTGGCACCAGTAAGTCGTTTCACTAGAAAAGCTTTCCAGTTTGTATATTTATGCTGAATAGCTAAAACAGAAGAAATAACCAGTTATATGTTGCAAAGAACTAGAACTATTTCATAAACTATTTGTTAAAAAGGTATCAAATTTCCCTGCAATTTAGAGTATTGACTAAGATTCTGAAGAATAACCACAGATAAAACAAGTCTTGCCACTAAATAAATTACTCAAAACCACGAAATATTATTTTAACTTCTATATTGCTATAATTTCCTACATGTGAAGTTGCATTAATGTATATATATTTAAATTACAACAGTGTTGATTCAAAAGAACATCTGTACTCCTATGTTTATTACAGCACTATTTATAATAGGTAAAACCTGGAAACAACCCAAATGCCCAAAAATAGATGACTGGATCAAGATGTGGTATATATACATAATGGAATACTATTGAGCAATCAGAAAAGATAAACTCATGCCATCCGCAGCAACATGGATGGAGCTAGAAGGAATTATGCTCAGTGAAGTAAGTCAGAAGGAAAGAGAAAAATGTCGATGGTTTCACTTATAGGAGGAATAACAGGGGAACCAAATAAGACATCAGTGTGAAAAAATGTAACAATACAAAACACAACAAAACAAAACCAGACAATTATAAATCAGAGACATCCTGCAGGGGAGGAGGAGGAGGGAGAGGGATCAGAAGGAGGGAGAGAGGAGCACAGGGAACTGTGGTGATGGTGCACGGGTGCACTGGTGAAGGAAATTCTATGGGGACTACACCTAAGGGGTGGGGGGAAGCAAGTATTATTTAAAAATGAACAATGATGTAAAGAATACAAAAAAAAAATAAATTACAATGTTAAATAAGCTACTTACTTCTAGGAGGGACAAGAGGTTTTCCACTGGCTGCACACCAACCAACTGGATGGATATCAGAACCACATATATTGCACCAGAAGTCCAGACCAGAGTCATTTTCAAATCCTTCATATCTTAAAAGGGCATTATAACCTGAAACCAACAAATTGATAACAAGATGAGAAAACAAAATGTAAGGAAACAAGAAACAGAATATGCTTGCTGGCAGTGGTTGTGAAATGCCGGTGTGCATATGTGACAATCACAGTATGTGTTTTGAATTATGGTGAACGGAACAATGCATGCATTTAGAGAATGTTTATATAGCTGAGGAAATGTTTTGAGGGAAGGGTGGGAATTGAACTGGGTAATATGGTATGTGTTGCGCATGGGACACTCCTGTGAGAGTGAGCACAGACAGAGGGGACAAAGAATGTGCTTCCTTCATAGGAAGGAGACCAGCTTCATTAGAACACATCATTTATTTTGTGGAGAAACAAAAAATTTGGCCAGGGGTGTATGATGCAGCTCATTAATAGCTGTAAATGTGACCATCTTTATCCTAAGGACAAAGAATCCATTAAAGATACTTGGGCAGGGCCTCCCCGGTGGCGCAGTGGGTTGAGTGCAGTGCTGTGAAGCTGTCTACAGCCTTCGCAGCGGTGGTTCGATTCCCAGCTGGCCAGGGAGATTCCCACATGGCGTGGCTGACCTCTACTGTCTCACCTACTGCTCCCCTCAGCAGTATATTTCAGTCCTTCTGCCTGTTCTGCTCCCTGCTCTGTCTCTGGTGTTTTCTCTCACCCTCCCATACCTCTGGCCTGTACCCCAGTGCTTGTATAAATAAATAAATCTTAAAAAAAAAAAAAGTACTTGGGCAGAAAAATGATAAGACTGCAAATTTAAGGTGAGTAAGCCAACTCCTTGAGTAATCTAAGAACATCTTTTGTTATCTGAGTGGTTGCCACTATTTGAAAAAACTATAGTGCCCTACTATGTCACTCATGAAAGACCTTGTCATATAATGCATTTGACACCTGGCTTATGTGAGTTCACTAAAAAACACTAGTCTTACACTTCTGCAGATCAGCTGCTCAGTGTCTTCACATAGTAGATACCAAATGCAATAAGCTATCAAGGGCCACGTACATAAAAGCAGTGAAATGGGAGTAAGGAAAAACCTAAGATATATGAGATCATCAACACTAGTTTACTTTTGTTATTCTGTACCTTATTTCTCTTTTTAGTATTTCAACTTTTTGTTGCATTTCAAAGTATTTTCCTAGACCAGGGATTGGTAAATTACATTATAGTCCACAGATTACATTACGGTTCACAGATTTGGCCTACTGCCTTATGTTTTTAGTCTGTCACTGAAGAATTGTTCTTACATTTTTAAATGAGGGAAAATCAAAGGAATAATATTTCATGACATGTGACAATCACATGAAATCCAAATTTCGGTATTCATAAATAAAATTTTATTAGAACACAGCTATGTCTCTTCATTGGTGTAGTGCTTGCTTGCTTCTGTGCTATAATAGTAGAGCTGAGTAGCTGTGACAGACTATTGCCCACAAAGCTGAAAATATTTACTGCCTGGCTTTATACAGTAAAAATTTTGCCAACCTCTGCTCTGCATTGTATTTATTATTTGGCAATACTTGCAAAATTTATCAATTTTTTTTACAAAAGTTACAAATATAACCAACATTTTCTAGTAAATAATTATGCATGTTCTTCACCTGCTAATTTTACTATTCCAGCAATCCAGAAGACTTTGGTAGGTAGGCTGCAGTCTGTATTAGGAACTTCTACTCTCACATTTTCTGAGATATCACCCCAGCAGGTCCCCATAGGTGCCTGTCACATAAAAATCATTAAATTATCATTCTTGTTAACATAAAATCTAAAGCAAATCATTCAAAATTAAGCATTACCATCAACAATGAAAACATTACCCTAAAAATGCCATTTAATTCATTTTTCTAAAAATATTATCACTCCCCTTTCACGCAATTTTATTCAGAAAAAGTCAGTGTCAGAGTCAAGCTCAAGATGAAGACAATCCACATATATTAGAACAGATCCGTGTCGACTTCAAACTTCAGTAGTCTGTCCTAATACAAGACTTGGGTGGCAATTTTTATAAAAGGTGAGTCACAAACTTGACTGTAAGTAGATTTCACTGGATAAAGATGGCTTGAGAAACCCATTATTTTTAATAAACACTGAATGAATGTATTTTACCCCTAGCCTCTTATTTTAAAAGATCTGGGCACAGAGCAGAAAGAAAAAAAATTCCAATCAGCAATATGGTTTCCAATAACACAGGAGAAACAAAACTCTATAATCTATATTTTCAACTTAAGTTAAATTCTTGGAATAAAAATATAGTCTGTTAAAACAGATATGAGGCAAAAGCACTGGACAGAGTTAGTAAAAAGACAGATTTGAAGAGTTTTTGGAGACGCATACCATGACAAATTGTAAATAATTACTTTGAAATTTCTCATGCAGGAGTTACAGTAAGAGAAAACTCAGTGTTAGAACTGGTAATTACTAGCCTCCACAACAAATGGTAAAGATGGGACCCAGAAAACCGATTAAATGAGTATCATGAATAGATTTTTCAATATCTAATAAATATTCCCAAATTAGAATTTCTAGTATATTTTAATATTTATAAAACTTGAGGCTATTTATAATTATCTGGAATTTACGCAATGGTTAATTAAATCAAACAAATAAATTAGGCATATAAATGCTAACACCAGTCTCTGTGGTCCTTGATAATCAGCTCTTTTTATTAAATATAATTTAGAACCTTGATCATAAAGGAGAGGATTAGGTGAGGCTGTTAAAGACCTGATAATACAAACACATCAGGAAAAGACCAAATCACTTCAAAGCTCAAAGATGAGCAGACAAAGACATCTAAGAATTACATGAACTAGCCGGGTGGGCAAATGTTTTGCATGCAAGGCCTCTCATATTTTGGTGGATACTAACCCAACAGGAAGTTGGTAGCCTAAATCAAAACTCAACCCTTATCCTCTCAATAGTCTAAGTAATTTCTGATGGAGAGGAAGAAAATATGAAATAACAATGAACTAGGGTAAGTCTAGAAATTAAAGACAATCCATTTGTAACTACTATTTTATATTCATGATAAGCAATTAATACACATTAATAACTTAAGAGACTGTGGCCTCTCTCACTTATTTCTGATTCTGCAGGGGTACATAAAACTCTCTCTCTGAGCTATACAAAAAGTAACACATCGATTACGACTACCTCTTTCTGTTTTAAAAGGTAAGACTGGACTCTTCAGGTTCTGCTATCTCTCCCTATATCATTCTAGACTGTAGGGCCATCCCTATTGCCAGCAGATCTGATCAGAAAAGGAGAGGCTGGACGGAAGTTCGGTAACATAGATTTGCTGTCATATGATAACACAAAGACTGAATTCATTTCTGTGAGGAGTAACCAATTAGAGCAGACAGATGCAGCAAATGTACACACTGAATTAAGGTAGAGTACCTAGCCCTCTTCGCTTGGCTGCCAAATCTTGTGTATTGGTTTGTTTACTGCTGAGAAGAGGCGTGGTTATATTGACAAGTTGGGGTTAAGTTGACACTCTGCTAAGATAATTTGGCATACAGGACTCCCTTCTGAACTAGATATGACAAAGTCATACCAATGGGAAAAAAAAGCCTTAATTGTTTGGAGCAAATAACTTTTAGTCACATTTTATTAAGGAAAACAAAATGTCAATATTCTCACTTTAAAAAACAAAGTTAACAATCACTCTAGTGGGGGATGTTTATATTTTCCTCCCTACAGTCTGGATTGGTATAGGAGAAAGTAGCAGAAAGTGACATTTGTTCTTGCCTGTAAGGTTGTGGTTCTGCTAGGCCCTCTTAAACCAATCCATATGGTTTACTCTAAGAAAAAAAATGAAGAAACAAAACAACAAAAAAGAGCACCACAGCATGGCACAGTATGTGCTCAATGTGTTGAAATAATAAAGTAATTTCACAGATATATCTGCCCTTTTGTTTCAAATGAATATTTTTAAGTGTGGAAGACTAAATGACCCAGGGCTTGACAGCCATCTTCATCCAAGTCATCTGTCTTCTCTTGCTGGCAGGAGGGATACCTCTGAAAGTCTGGATTGGCATAGCATGAACTAGCAGAACCATAATTTACAGGTAACAACAAATTTACCTTCCAGACTCAGGATGAGAGGTCCACCTCAGGCTCCTCCCCAAACCAGGAAGATCTGCTTCACCACTTCCTGCTCCAGGGCCACTCGTGAGGGCTATCTGTGAGCGACTCTCCTTCCCTGCAAGGTAAGCTGTCATCAGGTCCTGCAGGACACGGCCATCCAAATGCTGAGGGCTCCCCAGCACAAATGTATGATAACTTCCACCTGCCTGTCCATAAGAAAATAACTGGGTGGGAAGTCTTACTTTCTGTACTTGAAGAATATCCCCAGGTAGTCCAAAAGCTCAGTGGCTAATATTTAGACTCTAGGAGGGTTGATACATGACATACATGATGCTTTTATGGCAGAAATACAGATTTCTCTCTACAGAGCTGCCAACTTGTAACTTTTGGTAACCACCCACAATCTTCAATTTAAAAAGAGCTTAAAGGCCTCTCTGGTGGCGCAAGGGGTTTTAAGCACAGCACTATGAAGCTATCTGCAGCCTCTGCAACTCGAGTTCGATTCCCGTCTGGCCAGGGAGCTATCCACATGGTGTGGCAGACCTCTCCTGACTTGCCCGCTGCTCCCCTCAGCAGTGTATTTCAGTCAGTCTGTCTGTTCTGTTTCCCACTCTGTCTCTGGTGAATCCTCTCACCCCCTGCACCTCTGGCCTGTACCCCAGTTCTTGTATGCATAAATAAATAGATAAATCTAAAAAAAAAAAAGCATGCTTAAGTGGCAAAGTTTGGCCCTAATATTGCACATAGGTAACCAAGATCTATCCCAACAATGACAATGACAAATGTACAAAAATCCACCACTAAATACCTGAAGCATCTGTTTAATAGAGGACATCTAGTAGAGAAAGAGGAAATATTTGACCAAAAAGGGGAGAAAATCTTCATTGAAAATTAACTAGAAAGAAATTAGAACTCCGCAATACTATTAAAGGAATTAACAGGAAGCAGAAACAGAAAAAAAAAAAACAAAACCAAAAAAACCCAAAAACCTGTTTCTTCTTTCTCCAGAAAGTCCACTCACTATTTGATACCAGAATCTACTTACTGGGGACGTGCAAGCAGAGTACAAAAGGAAAATGGGACCCATGATAGGGTGGAATTAAAATGGAAAGAATGCTCTCTGTACGTAAAAAGAGATAGGAAACAGTGACTACTAATCTGAAAGTTCATAATTAAATAAAAATAAGTATACTGGGCCTCCCTGGTGGTACAAGGGGTTAAGCACCGCACTACGAAGCTGTCCACAGCCTCTGCAGCATGAGTTCGATCTCTGCCTGGCCAGGGAGCTACCCACATGGTGAAGCAGACCTCTCCTGCCTTGCCCGTTGCTCCCCTCAGCAGTGCATTTCGGTTATTCTGCCTTTCTGTTCCTGTTCTGTCTCTGGTGAATCCTCTCACCCCCCCGCATCTCTGGCCTATACCCCAGCTCTTGTATGCATTAATAAATAAATCTTAAAAAAAAAAAAAGAATATTGTTTAAAAATTGGGACATTCTAATAGAACTAAAAGGCAACTTTAGAAACAGACCAAAATTAAGAAACTAATCTAAATTATTTAGGCTTTCTTTAAAATATGAAAGACAGACTGGTGATTTTTATTATCTTATAGTCCGCTGTTTTCCTGTAGAAACTTGTTTCGTGGCAACACTCATAAAAGCTAATCAGATGCACTAATAAGTGCCAGAAACCAATTTAAGTTTTATTTCCATTACAAAGAAACTCTGTAATCTAGGATGACATACTGAAGATTCTAACTTTAGTTAAAATGGACATATTTATCTTCAACTTTCAATGGAAGCGTGTGGGGTCAAGGTTAGGAAAAGAAAACACAAGGTAATTTTACTTTATAGATACTATTTTACTCATAAACACATATCTGAAAAATAGATCATGAGTTTTATTACAAACTATTGTTATTGCATATACACAAACAGAGGGGTTTTTGTTCTTAAACCCAAAAATATGCTACATGCTGCAAACAAGAATGGATAACCTTATCCCCTCAAGCTGGTATACAGGCCAAGGAGAGAACTAGAATATATCATGTAAATAATACCAGGTATATCTGTGGAGACACGATGTCAAAGCCTAGTAAATTCAGCTTTAAAGTTACAGCATCTGTGTACCAAAAAAGAGGAACTTTTAAAAAAACTATAGAACCACAACTATCTTCAAGGGAGAAAAAGTCACATGATGACATTTCTGGTCCTAGCAGCAACAGTATCAGTAAGAGACAGAGTATACAGTTCAATATTAAACCAAAGAAATTTGAAGTCTGTGTGTGTGTGTATATATATCTATATATATCTATATCTATCTATCTATCTATCTATCTATCTATCTATCTATCTATATATATATGACTATACAAACATTATTTTAGCTTTGGTTATATGGCTTGCACATTTGATATTAGCACATTTTGGTTCATGCTGTAACGCTAAGGAAAGAAATGTTTTACCTGATTTTACAAGGCAAAAAAAAGGGAAATAGTGTTTCAATTTAAAATGCTGACTTAAACTTAACAGTGCTTTAAGCTAATGGTTCTGCATACATATAGATCAGTTTCCTCTGGTTCAAACATAAGTTACTAAGAGAAGACAACAACCTGTGAATTTAATTAATATACAT